CTCTTTGTACCTACTTCTTTGCTATGCAAAGAGCCTTTTGAGATTAAGATAGAATATGAACTAATATATTTAAGAATTAGAATTACTTCCACTTGCTTTTAATTATTGATGTCAGACATCTTTCAGATATCTTTTAAAATGCTATAACCAATAAGTAAAACAAATATCCTTATTTACAGGACTACTCTGCACAAGCCAAGTATCCAAGTATCTCTTAAGAGTCCAATCCATAATGATTACAGAGACAGCAGTCAGCAGGAAGACAGAAGATATGTATTTCATTGTTAAAAATAATAATTTTAAAATGTTGGACTCTTAGGAGATCAATAGAAAAGACTATTCGTAGTTCAAGTTTTAACTGTGGGAGTTATGGTACTCTGTGAGCATGATTGTTTACTTGCAGACATTTCATTACCCAATTAGGTAAAATAAGTGCTAAAAGGGAGTGTGGGGTTTGCATTCTGACCCTACTTTCTTCTGCACTGGGCATGTTACCTAGTTGGTTAATGAAATATCTGCATGAAAACAACCAAGCTCAGATAGCACCAAAGACCCCCTCAGCCTAAGGGATCAATATTCCTTTATCAAAACAAAAGCGAACAAAACATAATTACAAATCCAGGTATCTTGTGTCTCCTACAGCCCAAGACAAAATGACAAAACAAGAGTGGCCAGAGATGGGATGGAGAGTTGGGCATGCCCATAGGGAACTTTAGGGACAAACAGGAAATGGGCAGTTTCCTGACACTGACCATCACATAGGCTAAGTCTGTGATGGCGAACCTATGGCACGCGTGCCACCTGTGACACACGGAGCCATTTCTGTGGGCACGCGAGCCATTGCCCTAGGTCAGCTCCTCCGTGCATGGCCGCACACCTCCCACTGGCCAGCTGATTTTCGGGTCTCTGCTGTGCATGCAGGAGAAATGCGTGCATGCCCATGCCGCCCTTCCCCTCTCAGGAGTCCCCACGCAGCCTGTTTTGGATGACAGGTAAGTACAGGGCTGGCGCGGAGGCTCTGGGAGGATGAAAAATGGGCCTCCTGGAAGTCCGTAAACGGGCCATTTCCGGCCTCTGGAGACTTCAGGGAGGCCTGCTAGGCCCAAAACGGGGCACGGGGGGGATCGTATGCAGCTACGCAGGGGGGCGGGGCACTGCAGGAGAGTTGCATGCGCATGCACGGGGTAGGGCATGTATGGGGGGCATTGCATTATGGGTGTGGGCACGCACACGCGCCTGCTATTGAACGCACATGCGCTTTTGGCACCCAAGGAAAAAAAGGTTAGCCATCACTGGGCTAGGTCATTTCTAAGAAACAGAGGATTTTTCTTACAGCAAAATCTTACAGAACAACAAAGACAACTTTATACAGTGATAAATTATCGTTATTCTCATTATTCATGCGAATATGTAACATAAAAACAGAGTTTGTGCCGTGATTGTAAAGCTGAGCTCTTACTGAAGTGAGGATTCAAGCTGTAAATAGATAGCTTAATATACTAAAACATACACTGGCTTTCAAACCAAAGGCTTATTTGTTTCATTCTGACTTCAATAAATAATGCTATTTACATTCTAGAGGCTCAAGTGAACAAATTCATAACAGTTATATTAATCACTTAAAACATATATCCTAACAATTACAAATAACCAATTAATGTTAAATACTTGTGCTCAGGAATATAACAATTGCTAAAGTTTTTCAATGCCTTATATTGGCAGTAGGAACGGGCAAAGGACAAAGTCTATTTTCCCCCCAATTTCCTAAGCATTATGCAGACTGTGAACTAATACTGATGGTTCAGAAGGAATTCTTAGCCTTTAATTTTTAAAGTACCTATCCATACATCATAACCCACAAGAATAGGTACCAGTTTGCTAAGCAAGTCATTGCCTGGTGATCTCTGACTGCTGATTCCAGGAATCCTGCCCTACAGAAAGGCATTAAACACAAATTCTACTAAGTGATTCAACATCAATCACAAATTGTACTAAGTCATACGCTGTTTAAGCATAATTTATTGACTAAGCCATAGTCTGCAGCAAGACGTAGAAAGAAGGATGGGAACTACGTGGCTCTCTTTTTTCTTCTTTACAGACTTACAGTGAGAAGCTGCTTTCAGGCACTTAATTCTTTTTTAGTCATCACTGAAGAGCACAAGATTAAGAAGGAAAGTGTCAACTTCTCAGCATTACCCAAGTATATTTCATAGAGTTCCAATACAGCAGAAAAAGAAGCCCCCCAAAAGGACAAAATAAGCAAGATTTACTCAGAGTACCTCCATAAGAGGATGTTTTAATCACTTTGAAGCCAAGTCCAGACCTGATTATATGATGTTCCTATGTTTGGGTAGATAAACTGGGTTTTAGTTGCTGCAAATCTGAAATCAAAGCAAAGCTAGATTTTTTCCTGCTCTGCTTTGTGAGAACTGTCAGACTTGGAAGCCATCTTTTGCATTGGGCCTTCAGGCCTGCCACATTTACTGCTGTGGGAAATTGGGAGGGGGGATTGTATGGAGCATTTGTGATATATAGTCATAATAACATTCTTTTCTCAGAGAGTCAAGGACATCGTGCCCTGCACCTGATGGGGCTGGACCTGGGAGGCATCTCCAGTTGGGACAGTGCTTTGATTGGATCATATGATGGACTTGTGGGTGCTGGGCAGGGACTTGAACTTTTCTTCGGGTGGGGAAAACCTGGAAACTTTCAGATTCGGGTTTTCCCAGATGTGCCAATATGACATCTCTAATAAAATGTAGCTTTGAGGAGACACGAGCCTCAGAGTTTTCTTTCGTTGGAGGTGTAACTTAGAACCCTGACAAGAACCTTACCTTATTTCACCTCCAGGATCTTGGATTCAAGTGAGTTTTAACTGTTTCCTGCCACTATAGAGTCGTTGGTGCTCTCTGACCTTGCTTGCTTGCTTGTTTGCTGGCAGATGTTTCATTACCCAACTATATAGCATCATCAGTGCATATGGATGTTTTCTTGCATCCATAAAGATTCAGCATCACATTCTTACACCATTAAGAAGAGATTTATTTCCTTTTTTTCCTCCTTCATAACCCACCCACCCCCAGCACTAGCTACATGCAAGTATACTAAGTAATACTAGGGAAAGTACACAGCTCTAAAGTTTCTTTCAGACCCTTTAAAGTAATAGGCAAGGAATAGGATCAAGATGTCAACGGTGGAAATGTTTCTTTTTTTCCTCAAATATTATCCTCTGCATAAGTTACAAGGATATCCCTTCAGAGCAACAAGAATGAGAGAAGGGTACTAACATTTCTTTTAAATTTTAGCATAAACTGACAGAAAGGAATTTTTGCCAACACAGCAGAAAAAGCACTTCTATTGTATAGAAAAGCACAGGTTGGATCATGGTAATTTCCATTGTCTTTGGTGTTTGGAGACAGTAAAAAAGAAAATTGTACCACAAACTTCAAAATCATTGCAAAGTGATTGCATGATAAATTTGCTTCATTAATCAGTGACAGAAAATCAGAGCCCTTTGTTGGGCTGAGGACTGGCAAGTACAAAATACAGTCCAAAGGGTGTTTTAGTCCAAGAAATAGAAGAGTCAGAAAATTTACTCTCAAGAACAGCTAACAAGAAAAATGAGAAACAGGGAAAAAACAATGCCAGTCATTTTTTAATAAATGTAGTCCAAAATAAACATTTTGAAGTTAGTGTTGATTGACAAGAATGATCCCAAATTTTACTGAACTTGTTTATTCTCATTTCATTTGCTAATTGTGTGAAAATCCATACACAAAAAGATCACAGTATTGCCTATCCTGCCCCTCACTCATGTTACGTTGTGTTATATTGTGCTAATGTATGTATGTATGTATGTATGTATGTATGTATGTATGTATGTGGGTATGTATGTATATGCTGCGAATCTCCATTCCAATTCTGCGTAGTGAATGATGTGAGACAATTAAAAATAAGAGTAATGCTGAGATCCTACAGAACAAATATCCAGAAAAAGAATGCCAACACCATTAAAATAAAGATCTCATGAGCAATCTATCAACCACTGTGGGAGAAAAGCCAGATTTTAAGGTGTTTTTTTTAAAAAACAAAACAAAAACAAAACAAGTCATGTGATATAATAGAGAGGTTCACTACCTGGCCTATAAAGGAAGAGATTTTGAATATTTAAAAACTAAAAATGTATGCATGTAAATGTATTAAGGATCCCCCTCAATATATACATATTACTAATGGGCCAAAAATATTGAATATAGTCTCTACTATAAGTCAATGCAACTTCATAGATTGAATGGATAGACAAGAAATAAACATATATAGAACAGGATAGAAATAGAGGATCAGGTGAGCTATGAAAAAAGCTTATTCATATGAAGGTCAGAAAGCACTATCCTCATTATGATGGGACATCACGATATACAAAAATGTTGAAATATGATTAGCTACACTATCCACCAAAATCTAGATTGGTTGACAAAGTCACAGGAGAAAACAAATCAATAAACAGAGCAAAAATCATCTCTAAATCAGTAAATAAAAAGGCACGTTTAAGGTAATTCGAGAAAATATACTTCTAGAAATCTCCTTTAAATGCTTATAGAAAAATACAGAACAAACCAGATTCTAAAGGAATGTATATGTCTTCTGCATATTATTTAATCCCTTCAATGCATTCAGGCTTAATGGAAAGGCAGAATTGGTGTATCCATCTGCTCAGTTAGTTTCTAACTAAACAACAATACAAGATCCTATAAGGCAGTGATTCTCAACCTGTGGGTCCCGACCCCTTTGGGGGGTCGAATGATTCTTTCACAGGGGTCGCCTAAGACCATTGGAAAACACATATTTTCAATGGTCTTAAGAATAATTTGATGGTTGGGGGTCCCCACAACATGAGGAACTGTATTAAAGGGTCGCGGCATTAGGAAGGTTGAGAACCATTGCTATAAGGAGAAATAGTACCATCCTTAACTAAGCTGTAAAGTACAAGAATTTCCTACCTTTCTTTTTAGACTCTTTCTTTGTGCTGGTTTTAACAGCCACTTGAAGTTCTGTCTCAGTTGACATCCTATTGTATCCTTAGTCCTCTTCACACAGATCCAGTATCTTGGCCAGGCTCATTTAGAACAATTCTTCCAGAGAATTACTTAGCTTTTCAAATACTAGAATCGAAAGAGCTCATTTCATTCACCCTTTTGAAGTGCTATAATAAAAAAAACAACACAATTAAGCCATTTTAAGAATAAGGTTTTCTAAGACATATAAAGTTGAAATTTCCTATGTAATGTATATTAGTTCTCATGTGTGTTAAGAAATAACTCTTATTTTCTCTTTGTCAAATTGATGAGAGTTATATTAATTTCAGTGGGATATTTACAGTAGGTAACAAATAAATACTATGAATAAATCTTGATGTTTACTAAAGTCCTGAGAATTTCTTACAATTTCTACACACAAACACGCATAAAATTCATAAACATACATGTCTTGTATTTATAGTTTCTGCTGGTAAATGATAGCAATAAAGTTATTTGTATTTGCATTTATAGTGTATGTGTGAAAAAACTGGTAAGTTTATATCTAAATTTTCCTCTATGACCTGAAAATAGCTTATAATGCAACCTTTTAATATTATCTTCCAAACAATTATTCTTGCCTGACATTAGATTTATACCTGGTTCTCTCTATTGCTTTTAACTCTTCAATCCAACAACAACTTACTGGCAATTGTATACATGTTAAATTTTATTACAGCTGTAAGAAATTTCGTAGGTGTGCTTCAGTTTGCAGGAAACCCAACAGAAATACTTCTTCAAAACGGCATCACAGAGACTGAAGCACTATCATACTGATTAGAATAGTCATCATGCTATAATCCTGATATTATAAGAGGCTTGAAATAAAAGTCTAAAGCAAGATGGTAAATTTCAATACTTTGAGTTGAGGTGATGCAATTCTATTTTCTGACTGTCAACAGCAGCCTCAAATTAATTTACTATTACTGCCCAAATCAATCCAATATCTCAAGACAGAATGATCCTCCTTCATACAGCTCCAGTAGATAATTATAACCATACATACAATGTACAAAAAGAATCAGAACAAATACTCACTGTACAGTTCATTCTCCACTAGCCCACCTGATTGCAAACATTTTTTGTATATAGCTACAAAGCTACTGCTTGAAAGGAAAGTTATAAACACTGTGGTAACAAAACAGACTACTGTTTAAAAATCTTTTCTATATTTTAATATAATTCTATATTTGGACAAAATCACTTGAACAGTTTTTCTTTTTATGAAATTCAGGGATGTCAAACTCAAGGACCGGGAGCCGGAACCATCTCGTGGGGTACTTAGATCTGGCCTGTGAGGCCACCCTGGAAATAGCGAAGGACGAGCCCGCAGTGCTTCTGCCAGCAAAAATGGAGCTTGTGAGGGCCACATGCGGCCCTCCTGAGCTCCATTTTCACTGGCAGACGGTTGCAGGAGGCCGTGGCAGCCAAAAACAGAGCTTGTGAGCCTGTTTTCGCTGGCCGAACAATCAGACCACCACAGGCGCCTCCAACATTGAGTTGGCCATGCCCACCCAGGCCCCCAGAAATCAAACACAACCCTGATGCAGCCCTCAATGAAATCGAGTTTGATACCCCTGCTGTAATCCCTTGCTTCGGGGTGGGTTCAAGGAGACAGAGTGGAGTTGAGCATTTACTGGCCAGATGTCGTTCCTGCCTCCTATGCAAAGTTTGCACCAAATATTTTCTCTTTCCATCTTGATAGAAAAACAAGTTATTGTTTTTCTGTTATTGCCTAGGATTGAACTCTCAACCTTCCGAGGGGAAGGTGAGATTCTTCACCTCTAGGCCATTGCACCGCTCACACTCTTAAATACAATTATTAATTTCAAATATCTGCCAAATATATACATCAATTTTTCCACTATTTATGTGGAAAATTTCTACATCAATTTTTCCACTATTTATGAACATCTTATATATCTATCTTCATTCCTTTCAAAACAGCATATCAACCATTTTCTTATTCATGGGAAAAGCACTTTTGGTTGCACAGAGAAATCTGGCTGTTCTGTTCATAAGCATACCACTGCTGCTATTGTACTAGGAAACTCATGTAAGGCTATCAGTATGACTGATGCTTTATAGAATACTGTATGTGATGCAACAGAAGCGTATCAGCATGAAAGAGGAAATCAGTTATTGAATGACAGAAAAACATTGTCATTCTACTGGAATTCTGATTCCTTCATAGTCTCTTCCTTTAGAGATCTTAAAGCTGCCTGGATTTTTGTTTAGCATGATGGCCAGAATCAAAAAGAAAGCTAGTTTTATTGAATTAAACACTAAGCCAAACTACTGTTGATGACTAAATTGTATTATTTACTTATAAAGGTAAAGGCTCCCTTTGCACATATGTGCTAGTCATTCCCAACTCTAGGGTGCCCTAGGGTGCTCATCTCTGTTTCAAAGCCAAAGTTTCACTGTCCAAAGACGTCTCCGTGGTCATGTGGCTGGCATGACTAAACGCTGCTACCTTCCCACCAAAGGTGGTCCCTATTTTTCTACTTGCACTTTTTTATGTGCTTTCGAACTGCTAGGTTGGCAGAAGCTGGGACAAGTAACAGGAGCTCACCCTGTTACGCGGCATTAGGGATTCAAACTGCTGAACTGCCAACCTTTCGACTGACAAGCTCAGCATCTTAGCCACTGAGCAAACACGTCCCTGCTCTATTTACTTATATCCCACCTTTATTACGTTTATACATTTATCAAGGCAGTGAACATACCCAACACACTTTTCTCATCCCATTTTCCTCATAATAACACCCTTGTGAGGAAAGTTGGGTTGGGTGAATGACTGGCTCAAAGTCAACCAGCTGGCTTTCATGGCTAAGGCAGGACTAGAATTCACTGTCTCCCACTTTCTAGCCTGGTGTCTTAACCACTAGGCCAATATTTATTCTGAAATATTTCTGGTAAAATATTGAAAAGTCCCTGAGGCTAAAAATCCTTAAATCTAAAGAATATGTCTATAAACCAGAGACCAATGGAATGAAATCACACATGCAACCCTAATGTTCTATTTTCTGCTCATATCTCATAGCAATATAACTCTTCCCAAAATCCACAAACAAACAAACAAACAAAGCACACTGATGCTGTTTCCCCCAAGTTGCTTCTTATTAGCATTTGTCCACTTAGATATTTATATGCTTTAAATTTCATACAGCCCTTACCGAAAAGAGCTGTCAGTTGAATTTCCTAGTTTAACCATTAGGACAAAATCCAGTATTCTGCTATATTGAGACAGTGTGTTGTAAGCATCCTTATTCTACAAAATTCAGTTTCTCCTATAACATCTTTATCCTTTGTGTTGAATGATATTTGCAACTATAGAGATCAGAATCTTATAAAGTAGAAAAGTAAATACAAAAACAAGAAGCTGACTGTAAGAACTTAATAGTCAGTTCCCGAAATATTTTTGTCATCTAACATTTTGGTTGACTAGCTTCCTTTTTTTCCTGAATTTAGTATCTTTCCTTCCTGCTAATATCATAGTTATCAATCACATTATTCTCTTGCATCTTATCCTTCTTAAACCTTACTTGCCCCACAACTTCTTTCATTCCTTTGAAGTGATTCTTCTGCATAAACCTTGGCTTATGTGACCCTATATAAATTGTCATTACAACAGGGATTTAGTCATTTAGGAGGACCTTCTAAGTAAAACTTAGCATTCTGAAAGTGCCATAAGATAAATGTCCCTAAAATCATTTTATTCCTCCCAGGATTCAAGATATCCTGTGATTCAACCCAAATAAGACTCTTCACATCTCAGTTACTGACAATAGTTTAAAAAATTCAGCATTTTACAATCCAGAGATTAAAGCTTCTCATTGCTTCAGAATGATTTCAATAAGTGTTTTAAATTAAGTCTCTAAAACTACTTGCCCTTTTCAAATTCAAGCTCTTTCAACATTTTGAAATGCTTCAATAACCTTACATGGCTATGCACAATTTGAACTGATTTAATATTCTTTTAGTGTGTCAAGGTTTGTATATAGTTCTTCTTAATGAGCTCTTCAGATCTGTACGTGAATTATCAAATTTTCAAAAACAGATCTTCAAAGTCTGTACAACTGGTTTAGAAGGATAAAGTTTTTGCCAACTCTTCAGAAACCCAAATAAATAAAGTCAATTTTCAAATCACCTAAACAACCAAAAATTAAAACTATTCATTTCTAGTCATTAACTTCCAAATGGGTTGTAAATTATATTAAAAGAAAATGGAAAATTAAACTATACAATTAAATAAATTGAGCTAATATAGATATCTTGATAAAACCATGTTTTAAATAACATAAAATTATGCAGAAACCATAAACCATAAGATAAATTTGAAACCTTAACCCATGAAAACATCCAGTCCCTCCCCCTCCCTCCCATTTTTTGCTAATCTGACATTGTGTTCCTTTTCTTGGTAGGTGGGCTGTGATACAGCTAAAATTCTATTTACTCAGAAATTTCACAGGCAACCTTAATAAAGTGTTAAAACATTTGCAAGACTTAACACACATTTATCACTTTACAAACTCCCGAAAACCCAAACAGCAAAACAGAATTTCTAATTTTAAGTATCTTTATTTTAATAGATTTATCAATATCTAGTTAATTTACAACATAAACTGCCCAGAATATACAAGTAGGATGTACCAATATCTTATGTCAAAATATCTTATGTCATTCTACCCAGAAAGACATCAAAGTAGCCACATCTAGCCGCATTTTGCCTTCACTTTTCTTTCTGAATACTACTACAACAACATCATCTTGTTAGCTTATGTAGCAAATACTTTTGATGACTCAAGTAGACTCATCAAAAATGCAACAGTATATATAGCAAAACAATATTATCTGTTAATTATGTTCTGTGTAAAAGACCAGTTGACTTATAATCTTATAAAAACAAGAGGTAGAAGCAAGACTCTGCTTCTAGCTATACTTACATTCTGTACAATGTTACAATGCATTTCATTTGCTCTTTACAGTAATCTTGCATCACATCTACAAAGTGTTAAACATAAGACAGAATCAACATAAGGCGGTGCCATTAAAGTGTATCATAGCCAATGATACCCAAAATTAAGGAGAAGCCTAACAAAATCATATATTTTCCTGGTATACA